CTGATCTTTGAGTTAGGTCCAAAAACATTGAGATTCCTCTGAAGCAGTATTTCTGCTCGGGATGATCAAATTCCGAGATGGCGATCACACTTCCAAGAGTTGTGCTGCGCAGTGCATTCAGCTGTGGTTAAAACTCGCAAAGGTGTTTGAATCTCTATTCCTCCTTGCTGTGATGACTTATAGGCGGAAGGTGGCGCCCTTCAAACCATTGCGTACCGCGGCGTTTTTGGCTGGCCGGCGCGTGTGGCCGGCGCCTATTTAGACCCCCGCCGCGTGCTGCGCGATCCATAAAACTTTCATTTATATTATAAACATCTATTATATAAGCACAGTACATATATCTTATACATTTACAATATTTCTCGTTTATTTTTGTTCAGTGGAATCGATTATCGTAGTATAGGGAGTAGGGTAACCGAAAGTGCGACAGAATTGAAAATGTATTTTGAAGAATATAAGTGAGGAAAAAGAGATAAAAGTGATTAAAACGTAGTCGTTTTGATTGTTTTATATGCTCGAAGTTGTCACACAGCCGCTCTTTCACTTTTACTACAATTTGGCGAGAAAATTGAGAGGGTGCGACTAGAGTTTTTCACAACAAATACCAGTAATTCAGGAATTCGTTCGCATTGCACAGTCCCACGTCTGTATGTTGTTCTCCGGATTCAGATCTTCACTCCTATATAATTGGAGCACGAGAAATGTCGAAAATACCCTTTAAAAACCCGTGCTTCACCATGTGCAGCACGCGGCCACACAGAGGCAATTTGGCGTGCTGTACTATGTGCAGCACGCGGTACGCAATGGTTTAATTACGAGAGATGAGTGTCTCTCTTTAAGAATGTATGAAAGGTGGTTCAGTGGTTGGATACAAGATTTATCCTAATGGCACACAAGACACCCTGGTTCGGGCAGAACAGAAACCACAATGCCCTAAGCCCCGTCCTAAAGAGCGGGCGTGATCGCGGGTGCCACCGCCTTGTCCTGGGTTTGCACACAATAGTACGTTGTGTGGTCGCCCACACGCCGCACATTGCACGCCGCAGTCGTCGTCGTCGTGAGCCGGCTTCAGACAGCGGCCGCAGAGGCCCAATCTCGCCACTTGCATGCTCTTTGCCACTGCGTCCGGATATTTATTGCACCGTGACGTTATATGACCGTCACGTTATCCGGAAGTGGACAGAAGAGGCATGAAGAGCGAGGAGTCGGAGCGTTTCAGTTGCTCCTTGACCGCTCCTTCAAGATTTCTGGAGACGTGCTGCTACATGATGGAAGGTCGACTCCATCTGTTGTTGTAGGCCTTGAATAGCTGACATTAGATCAGCATTTGAAGGAGACGATTCTGCGTGGGTGAGCATTTCGGAGACGTCAGACAGATCCATGTGCCGAGTTCTGTCGGCGCTGAGTTTATATACGTCTTTTTACTCAAAGGAAGTGTCCCATAGAGGGAATATCCTACTACCAGATTAGTCCCCCGTCAACCGCCGGGACCTTCCTTTCCTGCGCAAGCTTTCTATCCTCCGCTATGGTCCCTTCCTCCTGTGACACCAACACCTCTGGAAGTGACGCGTATGCAACACAATGGTGTTTCATACAGTAGAAGGGACACAATCATGATATGACGGTAGATTTTTCGCTTCTCTTCCTCCTTCCTCTCTCCACTCCAGCTGCCACTGCAGCACCATGTGGAATGAACGGAAGTGTGCTAAGCAGGTGTTTATATAGCCCTAAGAGTGTTATCACAACTATCCTGCTACAAAACATTGATATCTCAAATCCTGTAAGCTACCCGATTTGTTAGCGGTTTGTTTATCCCATGAGCTTCCTTCTCACTCACTTCATTTTGCGGACGGACACACATACATACATACATACATACATACATACATACATACATACATACATACATACATACATACATACATACATACATACATACATACATACATACATACATACATACATACATACATACATACATACATACATACATACATACATACATACATACATACATACATACATACATACATACATACATACATACATACATACATACATACATACATACATACATACATACATACATACATACATACATACATACATACATACATACATACATACATACATACATACATACATACATACATACATACATACATACATACACATACAGACATACAAACCGACACACAAAGTTAGCGCTTTATAAAATAGAAGGATATACAGGGGGGCCAAAAAAAGAGTCACTTTGCCTATGGCGCATATCATCAAACTTTTCGTCGCAAAGGATGCCGCTGTTATTGGGAGTTATACGGCAAATTATTCCTTAGATGTCCCCCCATAAGCAGAATCAGGCCCACCTTCGCTGCGTTCACCGTCTCCAGAATATGACGTCATCTGTCATCACCGTCGAGCTTAAGGAGGCCTACAATAATCGCTCCATTCTGAAGCTGCTACATAAATTCTTCAATCGGATAACTGGTGAATGACTTCTTAGAGACACTAGCTCTGACTATGCAAAATGGCTTTTGACCAGCGTTTCAGAGACGTCGTAATCATCTATGGTTTCTCGACGACCCCGTTGAGCTCGTACCGCGAACCATGTTTCCGTGGGAAAATCTTCTGGTGTCGTCGGTGTAGAAGGCCACTATGCAATGTTTTTGATAGAATAGAATGTGCTCTTCAATATGCAATTGAGCTCATTCGGTTTGGTTTTGGCAAAGTGTAATTAATTCTGTTTTGAATGTGAGTAGGAGTGACTCTTTTTTTTTGCCCCCCCCCCCCCCCTCCTGTATAATCGGCTAAGCGGTTGTGTGTGTGTGTGTGTCTGACCGGAAATTCATAACTTCACCCCTTTGGACCCAGAGCGCTCAAACTTCTAGGATATATAGGGGGCCGGAGGTAAACACTGATGACGGGTGGCGGGAAGTGATAACTACTGATAGGAGCTGATAACGGACGTCGAAATGTTGATGTCACCAAGTTCGTTGCACCGTTCGCGTTGCACCGCTCGTGAACAGTGAGGGAGTCGTCACTTGTACGAGCCGTATGCGAGGAGGCGGGCACCACTAGAAGGTTGAATGCAACTAATGTGGGTAACAAACTGATTTAAGAAACTGATAAGGGCGTCAAGGTGTGCCGAACCCAGATTCGTGCGGCCTTGCTGTTACATTGGAACCTTGGCTCTCACATGTGGTATAGGGGATGGAACACGGATAGTGGCTGTTCGGAAGTGATAACAAGCGATAACGGTTGATAAGGGATTAGGATTTTCGAAAACTGCTTATTTCGTTGCAGCCTTCGTGGTGACAGTAAATTAGCTCCTACACACTGCCGTGGAGGTTGGGACCGGGACACCGATTGCGAGCAGTATGAACTGATAACAAATGACAAGGAATGATAAGAGCTATATCTGTTATTTCTTCTGTGCCTGACAGGTTTTGTATGGTGGAAGATTTATTGCCTGACGTTTCGACGAAATCGTCGTTTTCAAAGGCCTGAAAGCGTTCCGAAACTTTTACGAACTTAACCTATCCGCTCAACACAAATATGCGCTAAGCTTACAACACTCAGACCAGCGAACCATAGTATGCTAACTCCAAAAACGGTTTCTCACCTTAATTCCACCAATGTTCCGCTCAACGGCCTCCCTCAGCGCTTTGCAGAGTGAACAGAAAGTGAAACTAACTGACCGCACACTGCTTATAAAGGAGGAACGTGCAGTGCGCTCCGTATTCACTATCATAGCTCACATAGAGGGATGTAGGGCAAGAAATCGGCAGTTATTGAGATGCACTCATTCCTGTTATTCATACTTGGATTTCGTTGTTTTATCCAAAAGGCCTCAAGGGTTTTTTGGAATGATAAGAGCGTTAGAATGCAGGCCTCTCCAACTTCGTTGCAATTATCACTGGCAAGCGGTCAAGGTGGTGAGGGTTGAATGTAGGTGATGTATGAGCGGCAACTGTACTGATAAAAGTAGCGAACAGTTGAGCGTGCACTCAGTTGAACTAAACCAGGTCCCTAGCACGTGAATATGTTCCATTCCTATCCTTTCATCTAAAGAAGCAAAGAAAGTTGAGCTGCTTCACTTTCTGGACCTGTAGCTGCAAACCTCCTTTCAACTCAAGAAAGTTGATCCACTCATAATTTCCGAATTCATGATAGCTCGGCTAGATGCATTGGTCATATAACTCGATATCGCGGAGGTTGGGGGAGTGTTAGCGGAAGTGAACGGAGCGCACTTGATAGGAAACTATCGTGGCTTAAGCCAACATACATCGCTGGCTATCAGCAAAGCATGCTGGCAACAGCTTATCCACGCACTTCTATCAAGTGCACGTCACTTCCGGTGACACACCCACCCCAACTTGACGGATATCGATTATATTTCACTTACACACCGATTCTTCAATTGTGGAAATTCTATAAACCGCTAAATCATCCGAGCTCGATATCAATGCTAAATGTTTACGAAGTCATGATAAGTACCATTTTCATTCCGCATGCTACTGCGCGCATTACGCGACAATCTTCAGCAAAATTGGACAGCCTTTGAAATTCATGTGACACATCTTCCAAACATCTTACTGTTAGTTTCTCAGCCACGTGACCTAATATTCAGCAAGTTGTCCAGTTTCACTAAAGCCTACCATGTGATGCGCGCGGTTGCGTGCGGAGCTAAACTGGTAAATATACAATGCGGTAAAATCATCTCAAAAATACCCATAAGGCCTCAAAACTTTAGGCTTCAAAGGGCCTTTATGAAAGTTGAAAGGAATTTTGAAAGGAAAGGAATGGGGCTAAAATGCATTCGATTGATGTCCGCAAAAGTTTGAAGAGAAAAATGATTGCTATTGGTCCAAATAAATATGCTAGACCGGTAACTACCGTGCAAGTGACGGCAATGAGTACAGCCGTCTTCCAATGATCCCTAATTATCTTTAGCAATGGTGCTAAATCAGGGAGGTGAATCTGAGAGAAATCCAGCATGTTCACGCGTCCCTCCTCCGAATTATGAAAAATATGGAGTCATTTGAAACCGGATGATAGAACAGATGACCTTTGAGAGCAATGTTGGATTTGGTATTACCACATGATATAGAGCATGTTTCTTCAATGAGTGCCTTGTTGAAGTTCAGATTCAGCTCCGTTGTTATATTCTCTGCACTGCACTTCACAATTGTGGTGAAGTTGCTGCACTTGATTTCAGCGACTGAATTGTAATGTGAACTGCAGGACACTTTTATCCGTGCTCCATGTAAGCAATCGTAACACCAGACAGCTCAGTTACCTGGGCCGTGCACTGGTCGTCAACGACCAATTCAGAGCTATTGGTTAGCATACTAGATCTTATATATAGAGTTATTTCTTCTAAGGAATCTACGGCAAGGTCAGTGCCTTGAGGGTATATTTCCATAGAACCTTCAGCGGTAATCGATTGGAGTCCTCCTAAGCGTATATGACCGATCGATTCCTTATTGCATTCACAAATGTGAGGAGATGTTCCAGTACTACAACTGCAGGTCATCTTGTTTTCACACTTACTGAATTTTCTCTGTGCATCGTATCTTGTGCGGCATACGACCGGTACTTGGAACGAGTCTGGTAAAATGATGGTCTCACTTTCCGACTGAGCAAATTTTTTATTCATTGGCGAGTGTGAGGGCATCTGCACTGTGACTGCCGTGACATTCATAATCTTCACGTCTGTCGCTTGATACGGCAGTATGTTGTAACGCTCTTGAGTCGTTTTACCAAAGATGTTGCCTATATCTCCAAGTGTATGGATGGAGACCAATCTTGACATTCAAATACCTCATACACATCTTTAGTGATCGGGGTTATGGGCGACTCTATAGAGCACGCAAGAGTGTGTATGGCTTGAGTAAGATCTTGATCTACGTAGTTCTGGGACTGTTTCATTAGGTTGTAGTGAGTCACATTTCCTCGCTTTTCATAATCACATCCCTGAGCAACGAGGGGAATAGAATTGCTTCATTATATAAGCCACGACTTTGGTGTGTCGGTTTGTCGGTGTGTGTCGTTCTGTCCGTCCGGACCAACCGCTAACAAAACCAGGGAGTACGAAGGGCAACACTTCGTGATGTTGATGTCATGATCATGATAACACCCACAGCGGCTATATAAACACCGATCGAGCACACTCAGTCTCATTCTACATGGTGCTGCCGTGGCAGCCGGAGGGGAGGGTATAAGGGGAGGAAGGGGGGAGAAAGAGGATGGGCAGGGGGAGGAAAGGGGAAGGGAGTGCACCACTTTCAAGATTATGGTTATGGGGTTGAGGTATTATTGCAGCGGGATTTGATTTTTGATTGTGATAATACCTCAAAGGCTATATAAACACCTACTTAGTACACTTTCAGTCATTTCACAGGGTGCTGCAGTGGCAGCTGGAGAGCAGTAGGGGGAGGAGGGGAGGATAAGGTGAGAGGGAGGATCGTCAAAACTTCATAGGGAAGGGGCGTGTTATGTAGCGTGTTTTCGTGAAAAACTTTGATGTTTACACGGAGGTAAAGTGCACAGCTTTCACTCTATGCTTAGCATACCAACCGTGCGGTTTCGAAGGTGTATTTCGATGCAATGTTTCCTTTGTAACCTGTTAAACAGAATTTCACGCCCTATTTCGTAGGAGCATTTTCCATCCTGATTACAAACAAGTTCAGTATGATGTCTGGACAATCCATGTTGACAAGAATTACCTAAGCTGATTATCATAAACAGCACGCATGCTACCATTGGGATACGACCGCTAAGAGGTGCAGGTCGATACGAATGGATTACTTTCATTTCCATTTCCTTTGATTCTACCGATCCTGATTTATTCTTCACAATGGAATTGCGCTGATCCTTAGACCGAGAGCAAACCTTCAGCATCCAAAAAATGATAAAGACTCCCAATGCGGTAATGAATACCGGCGCTCATGTCCTTGGAGGGGGGGACATTTTAAACAAAGCACTCAAAACCGAGAAAAGCGTTTTGTTCGATTATAATCGTCTAGGAGATGTAGCTCTCACCTCATTGAGAAGAATTCGGCCCTCTGTGCGAAATTATGTTTGTCTGCGCCCTCTCGGCGAGATAGTGATAATGTTGCCGCTGAGTTCATATGAATTGCTCTAATACATGGTGACACATGTCTAATACAGGCCGATACATGTTTAGTGCAGGTTCAGAATGCCCCAACACGTCTACACATGGCTAACATGTGAATTTCAACGCACCGACGGCTTCATTGCCAGATCATTCTTATGTTTCTTCTTAATGGGGAGTGGGGGCACGTTTGAGCGTTTCAAGCTCAGTCCTGAAACTTATAAGGTGAGTGTGGTTCAGGGGGGAGGGGGCGCTCATGTCCTTGGGGGGGGGGGTTCTGAATGCCCTAGAATTCTTGTTCATAAATGTCCCCCCCCCCCAAGGACATGAGTGCCTGAATACCATTATTGATAGCGATGCTACTGCACTAACCGGACCAACAATGGGGGTTTTCAAGCGATGATATCGACAGAAATTTCAGTGATACGGTATAAAAACCAGGTGGGGAACGTGAAAGTGTTTAGAAGCTGCTTGGTTCAATTTTATCTGCACCTTGTCTCTTCATTGGTGAAGGAGGTAAGGTAAATGTCATTTGTGATGATTTGTTTCTAAATGTTCGACATTCTTGGTTGAAACACAACTCGAAGGTTGTCTTGCGGAATCGATTATGACCTTCTCGTTGTAACACTTAAGTTTGGTGTGGTATGCCCAACGGCGGCATGTACTGTAGCCAGGAGTATCGCCTGTAGTATTAACAGCGAGTTACAGGTCATTTTGCGTTGCAACCTAGTTCTAGTGAATGATGGAGCATGATGTGTTCCGTTCACGTAAACATTCTACATTTTCATCCTGAGTATCTTCCAGGCTGTTTTCGAATTCTTTTATGATTTCCAAGGCTTTCGTTTCTGACCGCCTTTCTATTCTTAATCTTGAAGAGGCTATTGTCTGATGCTGATTTCGAGTCTTTGCTACGACATTGTACAGCCTACCAAGCGGACGATGGAGAATTTGTCGATTCGGTAGCAATAGTTTTACTGATCTCACAAGTCCATCACTGCTGCTTATCACTTCAACAATTTTTCCATAGGACCAGCTTTCGCGAGGAAGAAAATCTTCTCCTATGAGCACAATTTCACCGACTTCCAGTGTCGCTCTTGTGACATGCCTTTTTTGCACTTACACTTTTTGCACTTGAGATGCAGTTTCTGAGATCCTCGGAGGGAGAGTGCGTATACATTGCTCCATCTTTCCCAAAATTTGTCAGCTATGTTTTCAGCGGGGTAGCGCTTCTTCTGCTTGCTAAACCGTTTGTATCACCTCTGGATCGAAAGTTTCGTCTTTCCCAACTTGAGATGTCCGAATTTGAAATCATCCTTTAGCGTTAGAATCTTGTCACGCTGATTTGCCACGAAGAGCGGCAATTTGCGATTTGATTTTATCCAACAGAGAGCGATTTCGCTATCTGAAGCAACAATGAGCTTTTTGATATAGCAGCCATCTGTTTGTAAGATAGACTTTCCAAGACACAGTGCTATCAGGACCTCCTAAGAGTTCCAGTCTAGGAATCGTTTCTGGCGCCTTCTTCGGTGAAGTCTTGGTTTTCCCACTGATGAGGTGTGCAACCACGTTTTCTTGTAAGCGAGGTAGGCACAGGTTGCAATTGCTGCCTTGCTAGCGTCTGCGAAAACCCAGAGGCAAGCGTCTGAAGATGGTACATTGTCCGCTATTAGTGGTCGCGGTGATAGTTATTTCTGTGTTATTGATTGACGAGCATAACATGTTCCATTTTTGATGGAGTTTCGGACTGACCCGGTCATCCCATTTTGAATGTTGAGCGAAGATTTCTCTCATTAGTGATTTGAGTTCAATTATTAATGGTGCAACAACACCAGAGTGGGTCGTACACGGAATTTATTTGCCTTACCGTCTTACGTACGTCTCTTTCTGTAAGGATTGGTTTCGGTGCTAACTTAGTTGGGGGGGGCCACGCGGCGGCGCGGCAGTCTGCTCGCCTGGCATGTTCGGAAATCCGTGGGCCAGGGGGAGTGTAGGCAGTCTAGGGGGTGGGGGGTGGGGGCAGTCACTTGACATGCGTGAAAAGCTGGAATGTTCGAGTTTACACTGTCTCGCTCGAGAGAGCCCAGGTGAGCAGACTGCCGCGCCGCCGCGTGGCCCCCCTCCAACTAAGTTAGCACCTTGGTTTCATTTCAAATTTCGTTTTCACTGTGAAGCGGTCGCTGATTGTATCATAGATGACACCAAGTGTTTTTAGTTCACTTGGAGCAGTGGGTCTTTTTCTGGTATCTTCGAATTTACATTTGCGGAGTTAGAGAAGTATTCTCGAAGATTCATTTAATTTCAGAAGAGAGTCTTTTAAACTCTTTGTGTTACGGAAGATCTCGTCCTCCGTTTGCGCTCGGAGCAGTATATTGTCTACGTATGAATTTCTGCTAATTTCTGATGGATAATTGTGTCCCTGTCAAACGCAAATATGCGAGAAGTGCCATGTTTAGGATGCTTGGTGACGCGGTTATACCGAAAGGTAATCTGGTAAAGCGGTACTCTATTATGTTTGACCGCATAACAGGTTTATTGGTATCTTTCACCCAAATGAAATCGGCACAGGTCTTTGTGCTCGTCTTTAAGTCTAATCTGTGTGAATGCCGCCTCGATGTCGCAAAGTAAAATATATTTGCTGAGGCGACTGGTAATGAGTATCTCATGGATTTTGTTTACGAATGATTCTCCTTTATGAATCACGTCGTTGAGTGAAAACTGTCCTTTTTTCTTGGACGAAGCATCAAAGACTATCCGCAAAGGTTTTGCTTTCTGAGGACGCCAAACACCTGAGTGTGGCATGTAATATGTGCCCACTCGCGCTTTCGTTTTTATCGATAACTGCTCAAGGATGACTTGGTTTCGGTAATCTTCTAGGATTTTCGAATACCAGTGAGTTTGTTCTTGGTCACAATTTAACTGATCCTGCAGCACGCTAACCTTTTAATGACAATGGGATAATTGCCTTGTAATAGCGAGACGTTATTTTTCAGCGGAAATGGGGCTGTGACATATCCCTTATCGAATGATATAGAGTTTGCGTAATCTTCGAAGTACTGTTGGACTTTGTCATCAGTTGCGCATTCGTTGAAGGATATTCCTAGGCCTCGAAAAGATTCTCTGATTACTTGTTCTCTGAATCTTTCTGTATTGCTGTTAACCCGAATGAAATTGGTTGCTGTTCTTGAGGGCAGTCTAATTTGCCGCGACCATATATGGCAGGTTCACAATTACACTAAATGTGCCTAATTCTACGACATGATAAAACCCTAACAACATCCTGTTCTCCAGCACTAAGTCATAATATCTATCAAGTCCCACAAGTATTTTGGTACTTGCCTTTCCCCTTGGAGTTTGGAATTGGCAATGCAAATCTGACGGTTTTCGAGAAATTCCGCATCTCTTTGGGACAATCTTACTGAAGGAAATCCTCCAGTTATAACTGGTTTGTTTGTACAGTGAAATTTACTTCTCTCCCGTAAACGGACTGTATTTTTAGAGGCACTGTTGTGCTCTCAAATCTTTCAATATGCCCACCAATACCTGACATAATGCAGGTTTCAGTGGAGAGCTTAGGGAGTCCAAAATCGTTAGCTAGTTTTTCCTCAATGATCGATTTATGCGCTCCCGTATCAAAGAAGAATAATACTTTCCTCATATCGCTGTGCGTTGTTGTTCCAAAGATTCCCTTCAGCGGTCATCAGAATCAGTTGTTCATTTCTGCTATTACCGAACATTGAAGAGCGGTCGTGCTCCTGCTCATTTTGCACGAGTTGTGTATTGGTCTGCAGAGCCCTTCTGGCATCGTTAGATGAAC